AAATATGTTCTGCAGATGTATACAACAGATCAACAAGGCTAATCGTGGGGACCTTACTCCTGAGGAACTTAAAGAGAGACAGGTTAGACTCTAACGATTCTCATTTATATTTCCACATTTCCAGATTGAAATAAAAATCAGGTTACAAACTTTGTGGTTTTCTCCATTTTTTGTGTAGGCAAAAGGGATGCAGGACCCAGAAATCCAGAACATCCTCACAGATCCTGTGATGAGACAGGTAAAGAAACAATCTTTCACTTGTAAATTGTGATTATGTTTGTTACCAAACTGTTGTGAGAGTTTCAGACAGATCTGACTATGTTTGAGCAATTGGATTTGTGTTATTAGTATGCCTCTTAATAATTCAATACTTTTCTTCTCCAATCAGGTACTGAGCGATCTTCAGGAGAATCCGAGCGCAGCACAGAAGCACATGCAAAACCCAATGGTTATGAACAAGATTCAAAAGCTTATTAGCGCCGGAATCGTCCAGATGAAATAGACTCAGAAAGAGAGGAAACATGAAAAATCCGTTTTTGCAGATTCATTTTTTTCTCTTATTTTCCAACTTTCAACAATTATAAATTCTAGACCGATTCTCATGTTTGCTGACGTTTTATGTGTTACCGTACAAATTGCAAGCATAATTTCAAGCTATTCTGATAGAATTTTTACTGAGATCATTTTGATGACAATGAGATTGACTTGATTAAATTTGGGTTGCCTCACGTTTTTATGACATTATCTTTATGATCCTTGGAAGCGAGCTGGTTCTGTATGTTGTGCTGAGGAACAAAATCGAACTTCGCAAGCTGCAAAGGGCAATTCACAATTATTGCAAGACCGTATGATTTCTTGTTCATTCAATTCTGAAATCATGAAAAACGTTACCTGGAGACTGCTGTGTTTATCGATTTTGAAGAGCTTGTCATTGTATTGCTTCAACGTTTAAAACAGCTACCGCACATACATAACTTGCCATTCAGGTCCAAAGAACTTGAAGAAAGGTAAGAAACGGAGTCTAGTGGCTTCATCTTCCCATTCAACCCTTTGAAACCATTCTTTCTCTTTGTATTTAATAGCAAATTCTTCAACCCTGAAGACACTTTCAGAATCCAATGGAAGCTTTCTCAGCTCTGGACAATCTGTTACGTGGATTGTCTTTAGACACGGAAAAGGCAGAGGTTGCCAGTAAATGTTCTTCAACATCGCTAGATTGTGTAGGCGTAGACTCTCTAGTTTCCGGAAAGGAATGATAGCACTCATAGTTCTCTCCTGGCTTATTATAACTTCTATTAGTCCCGAGTCCAGAACCTCGAGACTAGTGAGGTTTGGAGCGAACAACAACCACGTCAAATCCTTCAGACCATTGCAGCTACTTATATGCACAGTGGAGAGGTTTGGGAAGCCTTGAGTTGTGGGACTTCTGTTTAATGATAAAGTAACCCTCTCTATCTTTATCTCCCACATTCCACACTTCCTTATGATGACTTTACGGAGACTAGCCATACCTGGCAAAACCAATACTCTGGATGATTCTTCCTGAAGCCCTCTAAGTAGTACAATTTGAAGACACCTCACCAACCTGGGAGCATCTACCAGCTTCTCCACAACGAAACTTGACTTGATACTTACGTTAATAACTTCCAAATGTTGTAAGAGCTGCAACTCCTCCATTAAGCTCATGTCTAGCGACATTTTAGACTGTAATAGTTGTAGTTTCCTCAAACTCGACAAATTTGATATCCCTGAAAGACTCTTAAGCCTCTTCATGTAATCCAACCTCAAATTTATGAGCCTTTTCAACTGTTGTAAACCAATAGGTAGCCACTTCATGTATGTCCATGACAAGTCGAGATAGCGTAAGGAGACCAACTCGGATATTTGTTCAGGCAATTTCCGGAGACTTGAATTCCCTGATAGATCCAGAACAACTAGCATTGGCATACACGGGAAGAATTCATCTGAGATATGTACCAATGAATTGCTTTTCTGAAGGAACAGAGTTGTAAGTTCCGGGGCTGCCAGAGATCTCTTCAATCTCATTTTCCATAAGAGACATCCTTCTCACGGCTGTCCAATGCATGATTTTTGGTATTTCATATAACGTGACACGAGCTTGCACAACCCATCTTTCTTTTTGCTTCCCAAGATCAGATGCTATCCATAGAGCCATCTCCCGAACCACATCATGCATTTTCACTTGTTCTTTATTGATTGTTTCCTCCAACAACAAACACGCGCGGACAAGGATAGCAATGATCTCATAGCCTTGGCTTAATTCTCTTTCTCTACTTACATTTTCATCTATGAATCCCTCACACACCCAGTAGTCTCTTTTTCCATACGATAATCTTCAGGAAACAGAGAGCAATATAAGAAACATGATTTCCATACGACGGTCAGGACATTCGTTAGCCATACCTGGACTTGAGAAAGCCTCTCACGACGCCCTGTAAACTCTTCTCTGTTTACCCTTCTTTGCACATCATCTCGCTTGGCCTTGAGCATTTCTGTGTCTTTCTGCAGAGACGCTAGATTCTCGGGAAGGTTGTAAATGTAACTCCCATTGACGCATAAACATTGAGAGACTTGATTCACCACTTGATCACATGGCATCGAGATCGAGAATAAACCTCCCATTGCTGCAAAACACAGAGAGAGAGAGAGAAAAGACCTCAAAGACCAAAACCAGAGGCTAAGCAATAATTGAAAAGTAAGGAAAGATATGATAAGA